ACCAATACAAGCTTGGGTTACACATCCACCCCCAGGTGTGAGCTTTGGAGTCAGGCATTCCCATGCCACCGAGAAGCAAGTGTCTGCCCCATGTAGGGCAGGGAAGGAAGGGCTCAGGAGGAAGTGACATCAGCTGACCAGAAATAAATCTAACAATAGTTACTAACATTAACTGCCCACTGAATGTCAAGCCCTTAAATCCTGTGAAGAACGTAAAGAAGATACGGAGTGTGGCCCTGTATGGCAGCCTAGGGCATGGGAAACAGGCAGGGATTGGAGTCCTAGCCCTGCTCGACCCTAACCTGCAGCCTGACATAGTATACCCCTTTGCAGCCATGCAAATGAGACTGGACTCAAGAGTAGGATTCTGTCATAAAATTTGTCTTATCTTATCCCTTAAGAGAGACAAAATGGACTCATGAAAGAACGGAAGAATGGCATGAAACTGCCTGGTAACCACAAAGATGGCCAGTAAAGTAAATGGACCAGGAGCTGAGAGATGGGAAATTTTGAGTTGAGTAACCCAGGAGAGGTTCCTGGAAGAGGAGACCCCTGAGCTGAGCCTTAAAGAATAGGTAGAATCGGGGCAGGCTGATAGTAGGAGAGCACTATCAATGGAGAAACAGTGCTGCCTTGCTCAGAAACTTTCAGCATCTTCCCAGGCATAGCACATGCTTCCAAACATGGCATCCAGGCTCTGTTCTGCCTGGCCTCGGCTCCTATCCATCCTGGGCACTTTGCACAGCTTCCAAGACCCCACCCTGCATCCTGAGCAGCCACCCTGATCAGTTCACCTGCTGTCTGAACCTGCCATACAGACTCAGACTAGTGCCTGAATTCCCTTCATCTGCTTCTCTGTTGACATCCTTCAGTACCCCTTTCCCCAGTCCTCACTCGCCTTCAGAGTTAAGCATTCCTTTCCCTCTTGCCCTCTGAACCCTGTCCCATTTGATTCATTCTGTCTTTTCTTAGGATCACACATGGTCAAGTCTAGATACCTGAACTCTAGACACCTCATCCATGGCTTATACATCCCTGTGGGGCACATTCCATGCCCTTGGCTAGTGTGTGGCAGATGCCAAATGAATGGATGAGTGGATAGATGAATGAATGAATGAATGATCAAGAAAAAATGTAGTTGCATAGGAAGGGGAGATCATGTTACAGGGGACCATGAATTTGTCAAGAGGCACTGGGCATGACAGGGCAAGAGTGTGGCCCATATTGCTCTCAGTCTAGCATCTCAGGGCTGGAGGAACTTAGGTGCCATCTAGCCTGGTCTGTGTCATGTAACTCCTCTACAGCATTGCAGGCAGCAGGCCAGGCCCTGCACAGACACCTCCAGTGAGGGCAGGCCAAGCACACTGCAGCTCTGGCGCATTGCCGAAGTGTAGTGGGAAGGCTGTGGGCTGTGGAGCCTGACTGACCTGAGCTCAGACCCCAGTTCTGCTATTTGCTAGTTGCATTGCCTTATTCTAGCCACTTAATCTCTCTGAGCCTTGGTTACCCTCCTTTATAAAAGGGGCATAATAGTACCTGTTCTCAAAGTTGTTATAAGAACTATAGAGAATATACCAATAAAACAAAATCCTCCAGCTTATAAAAGGCAACTAATGAATGGTAGCTAATTTTCTTTCTATGACATAATATTAGTTGTTGCATGTGACTGGAGGTTTTATGGAGAGTTCAAAGAAAGTTCTTTTTTCTTTCATTTTTTATTTTTTCATTTTTTATTATTTGGCTCATTTTCACACCTTCACAAAGAAGTTTCTAGGAAATGGAATTTGGGCTTAAACCTAACCATCTGTCATAATTACAGTGAACCTGTTCTGCAACTCATTAAAAAGGTCTCATGTGAAGATGACGTACCAGAGTTGTTCAAGATCAGGGGTTACCAAACTTTCCCACAGGGACATGTCCCACTGATAGTGCTCACAGGTGAGATGCTCCCCAGCCCACAGGGGCCACTGCAGGGATGCAGGAGGCTGCAGAGGCTGTTCTGCAAGAGGTGACCCAGAAGCAGTGCTTAGGAATAGGGTACACATATCTCAGTGCTAGTTCTGGAAGTGGGCAGGGGTGTGACAGAGAATCCAAGTTTCTGCTGTCACATGTTCGGGAGCAAGGTTGTTACTGAATTGGTCCTGGGAGGCCCAGGCCCAAATACCAGGAGCCCATCTAACAGGCAAGGCTTCGGCTCTGAAGGTTAGAGGGAAGGAGGGAGAGACTGTAGCCTCTGGCAGGTAATGTTGGCCACAGCCCCAAAGCCCCTAGGCCTGTGTGTAGGGCCAAAATGGTTCAGAAGTCAGGTCAGGAAGGAGGATTGAACCTAAAGAAGGTGGAGAAGTGAGGAGGAGGGATGAGGAAGGGATCCAAGAACAGCCTCGTTACTGGGGTAAGTGGGATGCCGTGAACAGAATCAGGAGGGCCTCAACCTCTTTCCAAAGCCCATTTTCCTCCCAATTTCCACATCTCAGTGGGGGACTACTGCCCCCTAGCCAGAGTCCTGGCGTCTCCCCAGATGCCCCCTTGACCTCACCTCCCACCGCTCATGAGTTTCCAAGTCCTGCCCATTCTCTCTCTTGACCCAGCACCCTCTTCTCTGTCCCCTGCTTCTGCCACTTCCTAACTGCACAGTCTCCTGCCTGGCCTCTTGCCTCCAGTCTTCCCTTCTGTCCGCTGTTCACACTGCTCTCAAAATTCTCTTTCCAAAACTAACCTGGCCACACTCATCCTTGGCTTGAAATCATTTGGCAACTCTTAGTTACAGTGGAGACTGTCCCCTTAACATGGCTGGCAGGGCCTCCATGGCCTGTCTAGCCTCTTATGCCCTTCCCCACTAAATGTGAGCCCAGCCACCCACACTGCCTGCAGGTCCTCACAGGGCCTTTTCCTACTCGCTTGGGTTCCATAGCACCCAGCATCCTGTTAGGCAGACCATAAGCACTCAGTACATATTTTGTGAATAAAGGAATGAATTAATGAATGAGTGAATGAATGAATGCATGAATGGGTGAAAATGAATGATGAGAGAATCCAGGAGGAGAAAATAATTTTTGGCAGTGAAAACAAGATGATTTGGGTCTAGGGACATTGAGTATGAGTTGTTGGTAGGTGTCTTTTTCCATTTTCTGTTGCCTATAACAGAATATCTGAAACTGGGTAATTTATAAGAAATAAAATGTATTCCTTACAGTTCTGGAGGCTGGGAAGTCCAAGGCCAAGGAGACATATCTGGTGAGGACCTTTTTGTTGGTGGGGACTCTGCAGAGTCCTGAGGCAGCACAGGGTGACACATGGCAAGGGGGCCAAGTGTGCCAGCTCAAGTCTCTCTTCCTCTTCTTATAAAAGCCACCAGTCCCACTCCAATGGCAACTCATTAATAAATTACCTATTAATACATTAATCTAGGAATTGATTAATTAATTCACAAGGGCAGAGCCCTCATTACCCAGTCACCTCTTACAGACCCCACCTTTCAATACTGCCACACTGGGGATGAAGTTTGAACATGAGTTTTAGAGGGGACAAACATTCGAACCATAACAACGGGGCATCTAGGTGGAGGCGCAGGCTGCACTGGAAAGGACAGTCTGAAGCTCAGGGAAGGGTCTCTTAAAAGCCAGTGGTCTCTCTTCACATATGAGCCAGTTCCCCTAGAGAAATACAGAGATCAGGAAGTCAAATAACCAGCAAGCTCAGTATTACCAAATCAGCTTTATCAACTAAGACAGCCTCAGAGCTAGAAGGACATTATAAGGACCTTGTTTGGCCTAATTCTTTCATTTTACAAATGAGAAAACGAATGCTTAGAGCAGGGAAAGGCCTGCCAGCATAAGGCAGTGCTAGCGTGAGAGCCTGCGTGTCTCCATCGCAGTCCAAGCTCTTTCTTCTGCCTCCTGCGGACTCCTTGTTCCTGGTAGTCCTCTCTGAGCCCTGAAGGAGGGAGTCATCAGTGAGGGAGACAGTGGGCCTTGGAAGAACCTAACTCCGCAGATATTCATGCCGTAACTCCTCCTTTCCCACAATGCAGCTTTTTGTGCCCCCAAAGGAGAACAGACCAAATAAAGACCCCAGAAGTCACAGAGCTCATGCATTGACTCTCGTGCACTTAACAAACAAGGTAGACCCTCGTGACCTCCGTCAGGAGCTACATTTTTTAACTCTGTTTTGAACATTGTCAGCCATCTACTCTCCAGCCCTATAACAGATCATAAACAGCTGATTAGAAACCACGAGAGGGATTGCAGAGAACAAGAAAACTAACACACTGACTCAAAAAAGCAGCAGATGAGGATCATTTAGGATAAGGACCAATAGCCATTTACACCAGAGCACATGAAGACGCTCCCACACACACAGACAGCCCAATACAAGTTGTAGTTGTAAACTCCAAATTATGTTCAGTCTGTGTTGCTTACTAAAGATCTGCAAATATTTAGACATTTCACAAGGATGTTCATCTAAAGTAATTAAGATTATTGAAGTTCTGGCACTCCAAGAAGGAAGTCCTCTGCTATTCAAATGGGGGAATTATCCTCAAGGAATCTGGGCAACAAAAGTTCTTCATTATGAAAAAGGGGGGAAGGGAACTGGCATTCATTGATTTCACAACTCTTTAACTTTGCACATAGCAAACACTCAATATTTTTTTACTTAATGAATGACTGAATGGGTTGAGTTTCTTCAGTCTCATTTTCAAGATTGGGAAAAAGAGCCCTGAAGATTAGAATTGCCTCCCCATGGTCACACAGTGTGGAGCTGGGAGCCTGATCTCTTTCTCCAAGGCACAACTGCTATTGCCACAACCTGACCTGGGTCAACTTTGCAAGAAGGGAGATTTGCACTCTTCCTTATGAAAGAGTGAGGCTAACCCTCCAGCCACACTTCAGTCAATACTGCAAGCACTGATGGAGAGCTTGCTGTGTTTGCAGCCCTGTTTCAGGAGCTCTGCTTCCAGGCAGATGATGCTTCATATCACATATGCTTTCTTTGACTAACAGGAATGAATTCAGGGCATGGACGGACATCAAGCCTGTGAAACCAATAAAGGCCAAGCCCCAGTACAAGCCCCCAGATGATAAGATGGTTCATGAGACCAGCTACAGTGCTCAGTTCAAAGGAGAAGCCAGCAAGCCAACAGCAGCTGACAATAAGGTCATTGATCGCAGAAGAATACGCAGCCTCTACAGTGAACCCTTCAAGGAACCCCCAAAGGTGAGACAGAACTTGTAGGAACCCATCAGCACAGCCTGGACCATAAGGGTTAACTGCAGCAGAGCATGGGGTGGGCTGCTGTCAAATCTGGCCCAGCCCCTATGGACACCTTTGAAATCCCTGCTTCCTCTAAAGCACAGTGAAGACCAGGGGCATCTTCAACAGGAACCTTTGTTAAACTCAAAGGGAATATTTAAGAGGAACATCACCTAAAATAAAGACAGCTTAAAGGCTGGCAGATTTCCAGGGAATTAGCTTCCGATTTTGAGAAATCCAGATAAACAGTAGCAGAAAACCTCACCTGAGCCCTAAATCCCCTTGTCTTAAAATAGATGTGCTTGGGCCCCGGAAGGGCTGGCCCAGTATTGCAGGCCCCCATGCCTGGCTCCCCTCCCGCTAGACCGTGCCCTGCCTCATCCTTGGCTCCAATCACTGGACCCTTTCTTCCCTCCCTAGTCCCTGAAAAGCACCTGCCGTCTCTCATCTTCTCGGGCTAAGCACCATCCACTATGCCTTCTCAGTCTCTCACAATGCACCTGTAGCATCAGCTATAAGATATGTTCCCAGCAATTTGTTACCAAAATGAATGGTTTGTGAAAGCGGACTCAGGGATTTTCCTAAGGTAACATTCCTCCACCTTACGTAGGAGTTTGTGAGCAGAAGAAGCATGTTGGAGATATAGCTGGTGAAGCGGGACTCATACAAGCCATGCAACCTAGCATCTTCTGATGCCAGCCCCTGTGGAATTGTACAAATATCCACTGTCCTCTGTATCATGGCAGAAAATGTCTGAGAACCTAAATAGCTCTGGAACCTAATTAGCCTTTTCTCTGCTTTTGTCTAAAAGTCTTACACTTAAGTGGAGTTTCCTATTTGGTCCAGGACCAGTTTATGGGTAAGGTAACTAACCGACCCAGTTTGCCTGGGATTCTTCCATCTTAGCACTGAAAGTTCTGTGTTCCAGGAAACCTCTCAGTTCCAGGCAAACCAGGACGACTGGTTCCTTTCCTTACAGGTCAGGAGTGACTGAAAGCCACTGCACCTCAGTGAGTGAATGATCCAGCCTGTGAGGCCCAGCATCAGCTCTGTCCATCCAGAGATGGGGTGGAACCTGGGGCATGAGATCGGCATTGGACAAAAGAGGACGTAGAGGAGAAAGGAAGGAAAATGAGGGAAACTAAATCTAGAGATGGATGAGGGCGGTGGCCTATTGAAGGGTCACTTTCGGTGACTCCAAAGTTTCCTGAGAAAGAGCAGGCAAGGCCATCTTCTCCAGATGAAGGGGACAGAGTTAGAGGAGGGAGGCTGGGGAGAGTGGAGTGAGCTTAGAACAGCTGCTCTGGGGAAAATGGTAGGGGAGCCAGGCAGAGAAGAGGAGCGGAGGGCTGGCGGCAGAAAGCCTAGCTGAGACTGGAGACCCCCCTGCCCAAAGCATCTCAGCAAGGACGCTTCTCCATATGGGTGAGCCAGCCTAGAGACAGAAACAGGGGAAGCTAGTGAGTGCCGCAGTGACCCACCGCCCCAGAACCTCTGCATCTTACATCAACAAAGGTTTATTTCTTATTAATGTCCATTGTGGGTTGGCGGCCACTCTAACCCTCTTCATCTGGGTCTCGGGTGGCAAAGCAGTCTCTCTCTGCTGCAGAGGAAAAGAGAGCACTGGGCAGCACAGGCTGACTCTCAAATCTTCCACCTGAAGGTGACCCAAGTCACTGCTCACATTTCATTGACCGAAGCAAAATCCTATGCCTGTGGGCGAGTTGAGCAACGTGATGAGGTGTAACTTCCTGCAGGGAGGGGCTCAAATATTGCCCAACAGTGGTATGGCCCACTGCCTGGGGTGGTCGGGGGAAGGCTGGCAGGACAAGGGCGCCCACGTGGCCAGTGAGTGCTGCCAAAGCAACGGAACAGGGAGTTCAGACGGGAGATGCCGAGTGCCCTAATGTCCCTGGGAACACCTTATACACTGTGCTCCACCTGGGCCAACCTCTGTCATTACCGTTATTCCTTAATTAACCATATCTTCTCTCTAAATTCTCTCCCACTCCCCCCCTTTTTGTGTTTCTGTATTTGCCGTCTGTCTCTCCGTGCAGGTGGAGAAACCTAGTGTTCAGAGTTCCAAACCAAAAAAGACCTCAGCGAGCCATAAGCCCACGAGGAAGGCCAAAGACAAGCAGGCGGTGTCAGGCCAGGCTGCCAAGAAAAAGAGCGTGGAGGGCCCGAGTACCACCAAGCCAGACGACAAGGAGCAAAGCAAAGAGATGAACAATAAACTGGCTGAGGCGAAAGAGTAAATTTCCCTGCACTTTCCTTTTACTCTTCTCTCTCTCTCCCTCCCCCCAACTTTTTTTTAAACCAACAAACCAAAAAAGGCCACAAAATTAATTAGAGGCTTCTCATCTGCCTTGGTCCTGAGTGTTCCAGGAGCTCTTTGGTTTGGCTTCTTTTGATGGAAGAATCCTGCTTCACAGACTGAGTGGCAGGCCTCCTCCTGAGGGCAGCCCCTGGAGCACCAGGAAGCGTTGCCGCTGGCTGTGCCCTCCCCTGGCACTCCGACTGCATGCTGATGGGCAAGGCAGGCAGGTCGGAGAGGCAAAACTAATCTCCCGGCAGTGCTTGGAAGTGTCTGTGGGGTCTCCTCCTCCCAGATCCCCAAGATCTGTGTCACTGGTCGATTTTGAACTTTAGGTACATGTGTTCTTTTCCAGAATTCAGAGAATCGCCACGTGCCACAGAAGCTCAGCCTGGGCTTCAGCAATTGACAAAATTTGAGAAAATGTTAAACAAAAACAACAAAGAAAGAAACAACCTTGGCCTTAACGTCAATAAAAGGGAATTGTGTCTGTTAAGTGGTCTTTTCATAGAATCGTCCATTAGACATGTGTGCCTGTGTTTAGTTTCCTATCAGTGGGCTTTAAATTGTATACCAAGTCATAGATATGCCACTGATGACTAAAACTAGGCCAGGGCTGGTGAAACAGGTTAGGTGCTTTAGGTACATTCTAGCTGTCATAGGAAGATCACAGAAATGAGGAGGCTGTTTTCCTCTGATTCCCCTCAGCCGACCACCTGTCCAATGCTGCTGGTTTCCCAGAGCAACTGGTTGGAGATGTCTGAGGAAGAAAGTTCAAGGTGTAGGGATAGTCTATTTGGAATTTGACTTTCCGTTTCTGAGAGACCCAAGGGGGCGTAGATGTAGTGGCAAGTGTGGCGATGTTTACTCTCCCTTCCTGAACCGCTCTGGTCTGCTCCCCAGAAAGGGCAGCAGTGCCAGGCCTCAGGTCAGGGAGAATGTCTGTGACTTAGCTGCAGACTAGGAGACTGCTCTGCTAACTAATTAGCAAGCAGCTTTGACCTCATTAATATATAAAAGCAGCTCTCAGTATATTCCGTGTCGCGTGTGTGTGTGTGTGTGTGTGTGTGTGTGTGTGGCCAAAGCCCCCAGGGGTGGCAAGTGCCACCTTAGCTGTGCTAGAGTTGTGTTGTAGGAATTAGGGAGTTGTTGTGAAGAAAAAAAAAAAAAAAACCCAGTGCTTGTGAGGGAATGCAAAATAGTTACCAGAAAAATAAAATTTGCTAATGTGATGTGTATATTGCTCAGCACACTCTATATCTCCTGTCCTTAAAATTCTCTTGTCCCTGGCATTCTGACATGCTGGGCTGCCGTCCAGTGTCAAGCCCCGGTGCAGACTTGCTCTTCTTTTATAATGAAAGGGGTGAAGAGTGAGGGTCTCACAGTTCCTTACCTCAAAGTCCCTTTAGGTCATTCTGGTTTGGAGGAAGTGGAGCCTCCGCAAACTCTCTCTTATTCTGACCATTCAGGCAGCAAAGTCTCTGCTTACATCATTTTGGTTGTCACCTTGGGGCTGAGTGAGAAGTCTTTTGCAAATTAATTTGGCATGTGCTACGTGAGCCATAATTATTAACAGAATAGGAATACCAGAAATGAAGTCATTGGTGAGGCCCACTGCGACCTTCCTTTCTATCTCAGGGTTTGAAACTGTGAGGAAGGAGAAGTATGAAAAAAGGTAGAAAATGCCGGTGGGTTTCCATGTTTATGAGTCGCAGATTTTGAAAGCTATCAGGAAATGACTGGAGTGGATCTCAGTACTGATTCCAACTCTTTGCCAGCTAATCTTAACATTTACCAGAAAGCTCTAGCAACATGATCTTAATTGTATCCAGAGAATTTGCCAATGTATGTTCAGTCTCTCAAGATTTGGCATTAGTCAGACATGTTGATGCTAGCCACAGTTTGGATTTCTCCATAGAATAATCTTTTATTTTTGCAGATCAAGTAAATCAGAGTTTACAATGCACAGAGGATCATTCATTTAGCATTCTCTTGCTAGAAGCCTGTGTGCCAGGCACTGTGCTGGGCGTGGTGGGCAGTATAAAGAAATCTGTCTCCACAGCCACACAACCAGAGGGTGCACATGACTTGATCCCTGTGACCAAGTCAAGTTGGTGTTGCCCAAATCACAGTCTGCCCTAAGGGTCCCACAGGCTTCCCCACCCCCCAACCCCCACTCACTGCCCCAGGGACCAACTTCCTACCCTGCCCACCCGAGGCTTTAGAGGACCTGTAGAATGTCTTTTTCAACCTGTCAGTATCCCCTTCTGTTTAACACACCCACTGAGAAAACCCTGTTTGTAGTTCACTTTGACTCTTGAATGTGTCGCTTCAATGGCAAGAAACTTCCTTTGATTTCTACTGTTTACAAATAAAACTCAGCCAGTCTCATTCTATATCCCAAACGTACTGAATGAAACTGATTTTGGTTCCACAAGCAGTGTTTGGGTGTTGCCTTCCTGAAGGTGACCAAGCTTCCAATGCTTGTCCCACTGGTCTCTGTACATTTCCCTGTGGTTCCCCGTCCTTCCCTGGCGAGGGAGCAGGGACTGAAGCTTTCCCGCTGTTTTCCTGCCTGCAAAAGCAGCCCCAAGAGCTGTGCATTGGCTTCCCTCAGCAATCCGTCCTCTGTCCGTGCTCCCATTTGGTCCACATAGCTTTGCCTCTCTGAGGCAGACAGGAAGTGTCTAATTACGATTTTGTGGCCTGGGTTTTGTTGCATACCACAGATTGTCTATGTAACGTGTAGCGCACACCTCTCTTGGTGCTATTTCATTCCTGCTGTAAGAGAATGACAAAAATATTCATGTATAGCCAATTGATTGTGACGTGCTTGTGGTCTGTGCTTGCTCAGAAAAACAGACAGACAAACAAACAGTTTTTCCAATTCTAAATAAATGCTAAAGACGAACACCACTTTCTTGATCTTATTTCCTTGATGAGGCCCACCTGAGTAGGTGAAGGAACGAACCTTTTCCACTTGAGCCATTCTCTGCAAGATGAGCTGTGCCCTGCAGTCTTCCTGGGGCTCTCCATAATGCAGCTTGACTCTTTTAGATTGCCTCTCAGATACTATTTGCAAGCAGTCAGAGCTAAGTGTTGGGAAAGCGAAGATGGACCGGGAGACGCACTGGCCAACAAGGTAGTGTAACGTTCTGATCCCATGTTGCCGGGAAGAGTGACTGCCTGCCCCCAGCACCACCTTGCCATGCTGGGAGGCTGGGCTCTGACTCTTTGCCTCGTTCCTGTTGACTGGCAGGACTGTCGTTTCTGGCTTTTTCTCCTCCCAAGGGATGGCAGAGATGCCTTCACTTGCTCAGTTAATCTATGGTCATTATGGATGTTCCACCCTTAGGGGGCTGGCTCACTGTGGGTTGTGCAGGTGACAGTCACGTGTGTGCCTTATGTGGGGGTGCTGAAACAGCCACCAGAGAGGCAACCAAGTAAAGTAACAACAGATCAGGTAGTTGGGAACTCAAATGAAGGACAGGCTTCTTCCAACAAGGGCTGGGGAGTTGCGGAAGGCTTTGTGGCAGCGGGAGCCCTGGAAAGCAGCTGGGGTGTGGATATGTAAGGGCAAGGCCGCCGCAGGGAGCAAGTCTAGAAATGGAAAAGTGGGGGAGCTGGGTGGGAACCTGAAAGCTAGGACCAAGTTTGCCCACTTTGTTATCCTTCTGGTAAAGTGGAAGACAAAAGATTTTATACTCTTCATTTTTCCAACATATGTTGATTGAATACCTATTATGTGCCAGGCACTGTGCTGGGCACTAGGGAAACCAGGATGACTGAGACCCTGCCTCTGATCACAGTGGGGCACGAAGGAGGAGGCCATTCTAGCTGGTTCCATGGATCAGGGAGGACTTCAGCGATGGGTAGGTGTTGACCAGGTGAACAGAGCTGGGGGTGACCAAGGCATGCCAGACAGAGGGGTCTGCCCAAGCAAAGGTTGGAGGGTGGGGGCTGTCAAACGCCAGATGAACTTAAGTTCTGGGGGGTAGTTCCCTTGGGAGGGTCATGGCACAGGCTGGAGAGTGGCAGAGCTCGGTGGTGGAGAGGCCTGGTGCACGTGAGTGGGCGGTTGCTAACTGGGATCTCCATTTTCATTTGCCCAGATTGCACCCACACCTCTGCATGCTCCCCTGTCATGCTTCTGTCGCTTGCTTACGCGTCGGGCGACACCACAGATCCTCTCTTGCTCTAAGCTAGGAGCCCTAGGGTGGACTTTTATTGCTGGAACTGATTGCTGAGTTTTGGGGGAGGCAGGGGTAGAAATCAATCAAGGGTGGTATAAATGAAAAGTCGTATGTATTTGTTTTCCACATGAATAGAAAACATCCCACCCACCTGTCTACTTTTGTATGAGGCAGAAAACACAAAAGCTGCTCAAGAAATAAAACAAATACATAAAAGCACATTATTAAGCTCTATTTTGACGAGTTAAGGGAGAGAGACAAAATGGGGGTTGAGAGAGGTGGTAAGAAAGACAGGCGAGACGTGAGAGGTAGAAATAGTGGCACAGAGAGAAAAAGACACGGGAAGGCACACATATGAAGACACCTAGAGTAACCTAAGAGAGTGCGAGAAGGTGAGACATACTCAGAGTCAGAGAAAGGACAAGCATTGGGCAATAGAGGAGGCAGGAAGGCAAGGGCCTTGCCAGCTTTGTCAGTGCTGCCCATGCACTCAGGGCTCCCCCAGAGGCTCTTCCACCTGTGGTTCCCACCATGCTCCCCTCTGCTGCCCAGAGCCCCAGGAGGCGAATCTGTAACCCATCGCTCACATTGCCTCCGCAAACAGCAAACAAACAAAATTCAAACCAGCCCCCTATTTGCAATGAAAATAGGTCATTGTTGCTAAGTTAGCTATAAATGTATTTCATTCTTCCTTAGAGTTTGTGTGTTCTTTGTGAAATTCTTCCCTCTTTTGCTTCACTAAGGTTTAAGAATTTACAACCTGCTTCTCATAGATTTGAGGAGTGTCAAGTCCCATTTCACAAAGTCTATGGACTCCTTTAGTGTGTCACTGTGGTTTAAGGCTCCTTTTACTGCTAGAATGCCTTAAAGCAGTTCACATTTTCAGGACCATAGGTAGAGAAGTTTCTTTCAGGATGTAACCAGTGGACCATCTGCATTAAAGCAAGGCTCCACCCCTAGCACCACCTGAGACCAGTAGTGCTAGGAAAGTGGCTAGGGCAGCCAAGGCCACTGAAAAGGAAAGACAGCTATTTCAAACAAATGGAGCCCAAACTCCGCTCTCACAGAACCAGGCAAGTGATCCAAGCCCCACTTCCGCCACACTGCCATTTGATGCATATATCCTCATAACACCTAGACCATCCTAGAATTCCTACACCAGGGAGAAGTAGAATTAACACCGTTACGTACTGTGTTATTTACCCTGTGACTATTGGTTAACATGGACAGTGCTCTTAGGTGTTTACAAGGTTCATGGGTGGAAATCAGTGCTGCCGTGCAAACCTGTGTCTCTCACTAACCTCCTGGAGCATTAGTGTCCTCCTCTGAAAATGGGGATACTAATACCCCCTCAAAGGAGCAGAGTGAGGATGAAATGACATGAGGGCTGTAGGGAACCCATGGAGGACACTAAACATATCACTTCATGCCCTTCTCCTCCCTATAGAGTACTTGAAAGTACATGTCCACTTTCTGATAGATATATACTTAGCTGTGAGTAATACATGAGGTTGATTGAGGCAAACATTCTTAAGAAGATTGCTTTTAAAGAATTACAGCTATTGAATTACCTTGAGTCCACAGACCTAAATGATAATATTCTAACAATTTATATGTATGCATTGCTTACGAAGCATTTCTTTCTGTGACATTCCACTGAACCCTCCCAATGTTACGGGGCAGGTGTTGGCCTCAGGTAACAGAGGAGAAAGGGAAGCTCAAAGAGGAGGGGGCACCTGCCAGCTCGGTCAGGCTTGGAAGAGGGAGGAAGCACTGGAATCTAGGCTTCCAGCTTCATAGCCTGCTGTCTCTCCCTCTCACCTGAAGGAGGCTGGGCTGGCCTGAAAAGAATCAGGTTTCAGACAAGTGGGACTCCCAGTAAAAACTAAGCCCATACCCCACAGTGCCACACTCTGGCTGGGCCATTCCAGGTCCTCCAGCAGGCTTGCCTAGTACCCTTTTTAAATCTTGGGACCCAGATATTAACTGAGGGAAAATAAGAATGGGGTCAGGTCTTTACACATCTGACTGAGACATCCCGGCTGTACTGACCAGTCATCACAGCCAATACACAGTTTTTCTCCTTTTGGTACTAGCTTGCCTGGGTGACTGCAATGTAGGTTACTAAATGCAGAATGGTCCAGCAGATTCTTCATTCATAAGAAATATACTCGGTCCTGGAGGTACCAAGATAAAACTGGTATCCATTATTATCTGCAGTATGTGGGTATTGGATCTGAGACTGCCATTTTGAGCATTTTGTTTCAGTCAGTGGAATTGAACTTAAATTTCTGTCCCTTGTCCTCATGTAATGGGTCTCGATTACTTGTTAACCTGGCATTGTATATAGTGATCTCAACAGATGGTCCCAGAACTCTTACCTGGGGCCAAGAGAGCTTCAGATGCTGAGATTTAAAAGTTACTGCCACTGCTTGCTACTGGTTTAAGCTGCTAGAGGGATCTTTATGCAAATCTGACCATGTCACCCCGTGCTTTAAACCATCCGTGGGCTCCTCGTGGCGCAGAAGCTTCTTGTTCCCTCGGTGCACCATGCTGCTTCTCACCTCCATGCCTTTCCCTCGCTGTCCACCTGCCCGGAATGCCCTTCTCCTGCTTCTCCACCTGGCTAACTCATCCTTCAAGACTCCGCTCAGGGGACAGCTCCAGGAAGCGTTTCCCGCACCTCCCAAGCTGGGTAAGCTGCTCCCTGTGTGTCTTCATGATGGAACTTGCCACATGTACTGTGTCATCCGCTCATGTGTATGTCCCCCCATTAGACCGTGCTCCTCCAGGGCAAGGGCCAGGTCTCTCTGTTCACCTTTGTAGCCCTAGCTCCTGGCCCAAAGCCTACCATAGCGAGTGTCTTCTAAAGTGCTCGTTGAATGAAAAATGAGTGAGTGAATGAATGATAAGATTCACTATCTGCCTCCACATTCACCATGGTGCCTCCACAAGGCTCTTCTCTGACTAATAACTGTCTCTGCTCCCATGAAAGGGGCAGTTTTGTGAGAGGTCACGGCAACTGCAGAGCAAAGAGCAGTCAATGGCTGGTTTTATACTGGCTGGCCTCTGTTCAGGCCTGCATACCTCTGTACTTTAGATAGCCACTTTTTCTAAACAGTCTTGATTGCATAAAATCATGGGCCCTTGGTTACAGGGTAATCTAAGGGGTTGGCCAATCCCACTCCCTGCTCAGTTCAGGGCTCCTAACTCTAGGGTGACAGGACCCTCCCCATCACCACACATTTCATAGGCATGTCTAATTCCAAGCAAGGATTACAACCAATAGACCTGGTTCTAAATCCAAGCTCTACTATTTACTAGCTATGTGACCTTAACTGAGTCTCTTAATTTCTTTAAGCCTCCAATAGATAGCAATAATACAAATATCAATCACTCTCTGAATATATTTGGTTCCCAAATTCAGGAAGTAAAAATTTGGCCAGCAAGGGATAACATGTTATTTCAATTTGTTTGTTTCCAGAGTTCAGGATAGCAGGTGACCAGAGCTCTGATAGCAAGGGATACCTGATTCCCAGGCCTGCAGTGAGGGCCCTGTGGGGAGGCATGCAAAAGTCCTCTGCAAACTGGAATGTGCAACGTCCTTGCCAATAGCTCATGTTATGGGTAGTTTTGCTGACCACAGCTTCCCAGTTAATTACTGCCCTGGTCCCCAGCAGTATGGCAGCTGGAGCTACACAAGGTGAATCCACTCCTTCTGCC